GACTCGACGGCACATAACAACAACAACAACAGCTATTTTTATTTCCATCATCTTTACCTCTCTTAAAATGTTGCCTCAACTGGGGAAGAAGAAGATGTAGAGAGGTGCACAAGAGGTACAGACAACAAAGATAAACCCTTTTACACATCCAATACTGTGTTGTCAGTGATAACAAACATTAACCTACATGTAGACGGATGGGTAGACAGGCTGAATGATCAGGTATGCCTAGGCAAAAGACAATATACCCATGACCATATATAAGGATGGCAGATGATATTTCTACATATGTATTGGTATGTGCTATAAGAATGTCCACATACATAATAGAGCTAACAAGGGGCAAAGTTAGTATAACTTCTTGGCTACAGCCAACCACCTCAGGGAGTGAGTAGACGGACCTGTGGGCTTGGGACAGTGATTGCAGGCCATATCAAGTTCATTTGGCATAATACACTACATAAAAGCATTGTTCTACATCCTACTTTGGTGAATAGTGTCTTGGGTATTAAAAGTCTGAAAGCTGCCATCTAGGATGCAACAATGGGTCTCTCCTCATCCAGTGCAAAGAATGAAGAAAACCAAAGACGTATGGAAACAATTTCTCCAAGGGACTAGCAGACCATGCGATCCTCAGCTTATGTGACCATGAGACCAGAAGATGGTGCCCAGCTACCACTGTCAACCACTCAGAAAATGATCAGTGCAGGAGATCCTAGAAAGAGTGGGAGAACGATGTGGAACAAAACAAAAAGACCAGGTTTACTGGTCTGATAGAGCCTGATGAGACCCCTGGGATTATGGCCCTTGGTTACCCTTTAGGTCTGCAACTGAACTCACTCCTGTGACTTCCAGCCAAATAATAGATAGGAATATATGGTGAACATTTACATCAGGTAGATACACTCCTTAGAGAGATCAATTGTGGGAGAACAGGAGGACAGCATTTGCACAGGGAAATAGCTGGGGGCCAGGAATGCATAGGAAGGAAGGACACAGGGAAGAGGTAACTATAGGGAGGAAGTGGGAAGAGAGCTGTTACATTGTGGGGAATTGTAGTCATTGTCATGAAACAAAATGTGTATGAACTGCTGTATGGAAAATAAATTTTCTCTGTAAAATTTCACTCAATCACAATAGAAATAATAATAGTAATGAAAGAATAGATATACACACACAGACAAAAAAGATATTGCCTCAATACTCACCTATTAAAAGAGGGTAATAACAGCTACATCTCTAAGTAAGCAAGACAAGCTTTATGAACTATCATGTTTATCTTCACTCAGAAGACTGGCATACATTCATCAAACAAGGATTACTATGGATTTCTAACAATATGGTTTTAATAACGTGGGGACATTCAGAGAAGATAAAATTTTGATTACAAACATGGGTAGCTGGCTAG